GAGGGACGGCGCAAGAGGGAGCTCTGGTGGCCTAGTGGCAAGAAGGTGCAACTACAATCCCAGAGGTGCACGGTTCGAATCCACCAGATGCTCTGCCGGGTAAGGAGGGGCAATCTCCTCCTGTACCAGTCAGATCTGATTTGACGGTACACGCACACAAAAATAATAAAATTTAAAAAAATTTAAAAAAAAGAGGGGAAGACCCTCTGTGTGATGGATTGATTCAGTGACTGGGGTAATCGGGACGAGTGTGTCAGAGGCAGTGCGATTGGCACAGGATAGAGCAGCGTTTAGGGGCTATGAGTCACAAATGACTCGACGGCACGTAAAACATATCAAAAGAGACTCCAAAATTTCCTGTTGATGCTGGCAAGGTTGTGTAGTAATTGGGACCCTTATTCACTGTTGACAGAAGTGTAAAATGGTGAAAACACTCTGGAAGGCATTATGGCGCTTTGTCAAAAAGTTAGAAATAGAAATACTATTTGACCCAGCAATTGCATTACTGGATAAATACTCTAAAGAAGCCAGAATTGCCACCCAATCAGGTATATGCACACCTATGTTTGCTGCTGCATTGTTCACAATAGCAAAGAGATGGAAGCAACTCAAATGCCCATCAACAAATGAATTAATAGAGAGGCTGTGGTATATTCACACAATGGAATACTATGCAGCACTGAAAAACCAAGGAACTTATAAAATAATATACTGAATGGGTGACCCTGGAGGACATTATGGATATCTCAGTAACAAAATGTCAAATACTGTATAATGTCACTGCTAAAAAATAGGACTGACGTGGGGGTTGGGAGGTAACTAAGAAAAGAGGGAGAAAGGACTGTCTAAAAGAAATATATGATTAGGAATTATTAGCATGACAACAGTCCAGAATAAGAGGTACATAGCTAAGTGGACTGGGGGACAGAAGGTGAAGGGAGGAAATTGTGCAACAATGAAAGAGCCTTTTTAAAGAGTAAAGTGAATAGGGAGGGCTGGTAGGGAGGAACATGCGTAACAATGAATAAATGGAAATCCAAGTTTTCTGTAAACTTCAGTTAAAATATCAATAAAAAATAATAACAGAAAGGGGGGGAGAAAAAAAATTTGCTGTTGAACATACAAATATCAAAAACAAAGAGAAGAAATCATTAAGTGATAGAGAGGAACAAAATATTATTAAGGGCAATCCTAGAAGACAAAGTGAAATATGATGAAATGTGCAAAGACCTGGGCTTACAAAATAAAAAGAGAAGAACATATTTGGTATGTCTCAATCTGAAAGAAATTGTAAAGCTTCATTCTGCAAATTGCAATACTGAAGCATTCTGTGAATCAGATTGAATGACACAGGATATATCAAAGGAAGATAGAAGTACGTAGAGTCTTTATATCAAAAAGAATTGATCAGTGTTCAGAGTCATTTAAGAGGCAAGCGAAGGGAAAATTCCAAGCTGCACTAAAAGTCTTGGAGAAAAACAAGGCTTCAGGAATTGCAGCAGAATACAAATTGAAACCTTGGAAAAAACAGATGGAAAGCTGGAAGCACTTGCTTATGCCAAGAAATGTGTAGGACAGTTACCTGTCCAACCAACTAGAAGTGATCCGTAGTTCTACACATTTCAAAGAAACTGCCAAGCTTCAAGCTATATATAGAAAGGACATGGGAAAAGGAATAGTGCTGATGTCAGTTCAATTTTGTTTGAAAGTAGAGAGTATCTTTACCTGTGTTTTACTGATTCTTCAAATAATTTTTTACTTTGGCTTTGTAAATATGATAAATGATTGACAAAGAATGGGAACCCATAACTCTCATAACTCTTGTGTGGAATTTATTCATAGACCAAGAGATAGTTGTTCCAACAAAATAAAGAGATATTGTTTTGTTTAAAATTGGAAAAAGTGGACCTCATAGTTATATTCTTTCACCACACTTACTCTGTTTGTATGCTGAAGAAGTAATCCAGGAAGCTACAGTATATAAAGAACACAGCACTGGGGTGGGTGAAAGACTAACAGCCTGTGAGCTGTTATACAGCTTTGCTCCTGAAAGTGAAGAGGACTTAAAGCATTTACCGATGTAGATCAGTGTGGCTCACCCCTCAACACAAAGAAAATAAAATCCCTCACAACTACACCAATAAACCACAGACTTGAAGAACAGACTGAAGTTGTAAAGGACTTCATTTTACTGAGGCCACGGTCAATGCCTGTGGAAGCAGCAGTCAGAAACTCAGATGACGTATTGTACTTTGCAGATGTGCTGCAAAAAGGCCACTTTGAAATGTGGAAAAGTAAAGATGTCACCTTGAGAATGAAAGCTGGTTTGATTTAAGCCATTCACCACATATGCATGCAAAGCTGGACAGTAAGAAAGACTGAAGAATGAGTACATTTAAAATGTGATATTGGCGCGGTTCAAATCCACCAGATGCTCTGCTGGAGAAGGAGGGGGCAATCTCCTCCTGAACCAGTCAGATCTGATTTGACGGTACACGTAAAAAGAATACAATTAAAAATACATACATACATACATACATAAACAAATAAATATATATGATGTTGGCAAAGAATACTGAATGAAGTTGTAGAACAAATTTATCTTGTCAGTAAATTCTTTAGAAATAAGGATGGGAGACTTGGTTTCACATACTAGGGACATATCACTGGCTCCCAGAGTGAGCTCAGACAAAGCAATAGGGAGGATGACACAGCACCACAGCATTTTGCTCTGTTGTCAGTAAGCCAGTATGAATCGGAACAAATTAGACAGCACCTAATAACAACATGTAGCACTTCCCTTGACACCCACTGTTCTGTGGATAATGTTCTGGATAGGGCCATTCTTGTGGGTAATGTGTGTTGTGTATTTTTGTTGTTGTTAAGCACCGTCGAGTTGAGCACAACTCATAGCGACCCTATGAACAAAAGATCTGAACCCTGTTCTTTAACTATCGTCGTTTCTCTAATGTTCATAGAATTTCCAAAGACATGTTATTTAGGATGTGGATGTCAATTCTGCTTCCAAGCCTATTTTAATCTGGGAGCTCCACAAAACACTGTCCAACATAAGTAAACGTTATGGCATTTGACACACTAGTATGTATGTATTGCATATAAGAAATTAGTACAATGTTTTATATACTAGATGGGGCTGGCATAGAACTCTTCACTCATTTGTATATGTTTTTTTCTAGTTTTGAATCAGCAGTATGTAGAAACTCTTGCAATGCTCAATACCAAACAGCAGAAGATAGCTCAGGAGACCCTGTGCCATGTTAAAGGCAACTGCTTTACAGAAGTTTCGAGTCTTGAGGTGAGTACTCGTGTGTAAAGGTTGAAGAGCAGGGACGTTTTCTCCTTTCCTTTTCTTTCCCTTCATTGCACTTTCAGCACGTGCGCTAGGATAGGAGCATCCTTGGTAATTTGACCCTGAGAGTGTGGACGTCCCTGGGCCATTCCCAGGTGAGTTCTCAGCTGTACCACTAATCCTGCCTGATGCTCTCGGGCACTGGGTAACATGTCAGTCACATAATACCTCTTGGATTTCTTCTTTTTACAGTTCTAGCTAGGGATGCTGTCAGTGATAGGGCGGGTTTCAGAATGGCTGTTCATAGGGACGCTATGAGTCCTACTTGACTTGATGGCACCTAACAACAACAGCTAGGAGTCCTGGTGGCCTGGTGGGTAAAGAGCTGCACTGCCAACCCAAAGGCAGGCAGTTTGAGTCCACCGGTTGTTCTGCAAGAGAAAGATGAACAGTCTGCCCCCATGTGATTTACAGCCTCTGACAGCACACTAGAAGATCAGCTGTTAAGTGGGTTCAGGCTCAGTGACACATAACAACAGTTAATAAGATTGTAACATGTATTTCATGCATAACAATAATAGAGGCATTTTAATAGAGTGTCATCCTTGGAGGAGGCCTGTAATTGTATAATACTTTCTTTTATGTGCTGTACTCTTGGTTGATCTTTGTAGTTGTTTTATGAGGGCTACAAAACATACATTGCAATCCCAGATATAGAGAGGAAAAACTTGGGCTCGTTTAGGTGAGATTATTTCTCAAAAATTGTTGATGGAGCCAGATTCAGGACCCAAAACTTGATATTGACTGGCTGCCTGCTGGAGTGTTAAATGTCTTTCAGTTTAGGGATTTGGCTCATAAGGAAAAAAGGGTCCTAGGACATACAAGAAGTAAGAAGCAGTGGAGTGAGAGAAACCGGCACTCATTAACTGAAAAGACAATTTTAAAAAGAATCCTTTAGGGAGCTCTGGTAGCCTAGTGGCAAGTAGCTGTGTTGCAATCCCAAAGCTGCACAGTTTGAATCCACCAGATATTCTGCTGGAGAAGGAGAGGCAACCTCCTCTTGTGCTGGTCAGATCCAACTTGACTACACAACAAGAGAAAAAAAAAACCCAAAACCAATCCTTAACAATTTTATTACACTTAGTGTTGGTGAATCATTGCCAATTCCTAGCCACCCTGTGTTCAATAGAATGAAACCCTGCCTGGTCCTGCCTCATCCTCACAATTTCTGCTGCAGTACATCACTTTGAGGGTCTTCCTCCCTTTTGCCAACGCTTGTTGTTATGTGCCGTCGTGTTGCCTGCAACTCATACCAATCTATGTCCCAAGCCTTAGACTGGGCTCTATCCTGTGCCAACATTATTGTTTCTGACACACCTACCCCTACCACCCCAGTCAGTGAATCAATCCATCTCATCAAGTGTCCTCCTCTCCTGAGCTGTCCCTCCACCCTCCCAAGCATGACGATCCTCTCCAAAGACTGGTCCCTCCTTGAAACATGCCAAAGTATGGCAGATGAAGCTTCAGAATCTTGTCTACAAGGAGCAGCCTGGCCTCCCTATGTCTCACCCTCTCTAGGATGAACCTGTTTGTTCTCCTAGCAGTCTATGGTATATTCTCTGGCACCACAGCTCAAAGGCATCAACTCTAGTCATTGTCCAGCTTTCTGATACAAAGCAAGTAATTGCAAAGACTATGGCCTGGATCAGGAGCATCTTAGTCTCCAGACTGACATCATTGCTCTTTAGTATTTTGGAGAGGTCTCTGATAGCAGACTTTCCTAATGCAATTCGTGTTTTAATTTCCTGGCTGCTGGTACCAAGTGTTGATTTGCCAACTCTGTACTTTTCTAATCATGATGTCCTTCTTGAGGACTAGTTCCTCCTGAAAGTATACCCAAGGTATATGAAAAGTCTCACCATTCTTGCCTCAAAGAAGAACTTTGATGGCACTTCTTCCAAGACAGATTTGCTTTGGTCTTTTGGTAATCCACAGTATACTCAGTATTCTCTGCTACACTCAAATTTAATGACATCGGTTCTTCTTCAGTCTACTTTATCATGATCCTACTTTCACATGCAGGCACATGAGGCAACTGGAAATACTCTAGCTTGCATCAGGGAGCTCTGGTGGCCTAGTGGTAAGACACTGTGCTGCAATCCTGAAGGAATGCAACTCAAACCCACCAGCTGCTCGGTGGGAGATGGGTGGGCAGTCTCTTCCCATGTGATTTACTGCCTCTGCAAAACTGCTGGAAGGTCAGCTATGAGTTGGTTTCTACTAGATGACACACAACATCCACAACTCAATGGCTTGGGTCCTTAAAGTGACAAAATCCTTACTCTGCATTTTAAATTGGTCCTTTATAGGAAATTTGCCACAGTTTCATTTTTTGACTACTGCTTCTATGAGTGTTAATCATGGATCCAACTAAGATTAAATCTTTGAGCTCTGTCTTTTGTCTATTTATCATGATGTTGATTGTACCCAGTTGTGATAAAAATATTAATAATGGCAAAACCTACTTACATAGTCCTTAGTAAGTGTCAGATATATTGTTTTAAGTGTTTTGCATAAACATATTTGATTATCACAACTCTGAGAGGGAGCTCTGGTATCCTAGTGGTAAGAAGCTGTGGTGCAATCTCAAATGCATGCAGTTCAAATCCACCAGCTGTTCTGCAGGAGAAGGATGGGCAGTCTCTTTCTGTGCAGTTCATTGCCTCGGAAAACCTGCTGGAGGGTCAGTTATGGGTTGCTTCTGATTTGATGGCACATGACAACAATGACTGTATGAGATGGCAGTTATAACCTCCACTTTACTAATGAAGTAATAAATCCTTTGTAACTTGTCCTTTGCTACACAATTTGTTGGTTGTGGAGCTGGGACTTACACTTAGATAATCTGGATTTAGAGGCTGTACTTTTAAATGTTATGCTCTAATAATTCCTATAAATGGAAAACATATTATTAAAAAGAAAAAACAAAAGAAGTTCAGCTAAGAGTGTCCAGAAAAAAGATGACTTAGGCCAAACAGGAAGAGGGTCCTGACCCAGCTGATGAGGAGCCAAGATAAAGAAGTAGAATTAGAATCGCATGGTCTTTGCGGAAGCCCACATTTTTGTGTTGACCCTTCTCAGGTCTTAGCTGCTCTTGCCAGCTTTGGCAAGGAGTGATTTGTTATGAGTGGGAAGAGAAAAATCTATGGCCTAGTGGGAAGAAGCTGCATTGTAATCCCAGAGGCACAAGGTTCAAATCCACCAACTGCTCTGAAGTAGCAAGGTGGACAGTCTCCTCCCATTTGATTTACTGCCCCTGAAAAAACCAGCTGGAGGGTCAGCTATGGGTCATTTCCAATGGCACACAACAACCGCATTCATCATTTGCCCAGTCAGCTGAGAGCTAACTCTATGCCTCACCGTTCTGTCTGACATGAAGAGGAATTTTCTGAAACGACCTTTACATTAAGGGAGGCAGTAGGAACTTCTCTAAAAGACTGTGAAAATAGGATTCCATTTTATTTTATTGTTTTTTTTAAATTTTAAACCCTGTCATGTTCCCTTGCTCTATTTGGTTTTTATTTTTTATGCACATGTATATTTATTGAAGAATTATTCACAATAGTGAAGCGATGGAAGCAGCCCCGAGTACTTGTCGACAAACAGATGGATAAAAACCCTGTGGTATACTAAAGCAATGGAATATTACACAGAAATGAAAAACAATGAACTTGTAAAACATTACACAACTTGGATGAGTCTGGAGACATTGTGCTGAGTAAAATATCTCAGTCACAAAAGAACAAATATTGCATAAGACCACTGTTATAAAAGTACGAAAGACATGAAAGGGGGGAAGCAGGAAAAGAACAGGTAGATAATGAACACTGTACTGGAGTAGGCAGAGGGCAGGACTATCTGAAAGAAGTTAACTATTACACATTGAATGTATAACAATCACCAATATGAAGCAAGATATGCAAGTAAATTTGCAGAGGAATGGAGTGCAAATTGTGCATCAAAGAATGAATGATAACCTATGCTTTCTGTAAACGTTCACTAAAACTATAATTTTTAAAAATCTGATTATATTAAATATATATATGTTGTTTTTAGGTGCCAAGTTAAGTATGACTCATGGCAACCCTATGAATAAAAGATCTGAACCCTATTGTATCCTGCACCATCCTCACACTTCCTAACACACAATAGACCTTTGTAGTAGTCACTGTGTCAGTCTACCTGGTTGAGGGTCTTCCTTTCTTTCGCTGACTCTTCATCCTTCCCAGCACCGTGTCCCTCTCCAAGGAATAGCCCCTCCTAGCAACATACCCAAAGTATGTGAAGTTAAGTCTCATCATTTTTGCCTCTGGCTGCACCCTCTGCAAAACATATATTTGTTCTTTTGGCCATCTGCAGGATGTTCAGTGCTCTTCTCCACCGCCACAGCTCAGAGGCATAGGCAATAAAGCACAAATAGACATTTTTCTGGTATTCCTTACTTACAGCCAAGATCCATATGATATCAGCAATGATATCCCTGGTGCCATAGTCTCCTCTAAATCCTACTTGAACTTCTGGCAGTGCGCTATTTATGTACTATTCTAGCCATTTGTGAATGATTTTCAGTAATATTTTACTTGCATGTGATATTAATGATATTGTTCGATTATTGGATCACCTTTGTTGGGAATGGAAATGAATATGGACCTCTTCCAATTTGTTAGCCAGACAGCTGTCCTCCAAATTCATAACATATGATTTATGATTCAAAGTGGCCAAAACTGGTCAATCTCATCTCATTAACACCCATTAAGTCAATATTCATGAGTTCCTCCTCAGGATTCCATTTTAAATCATCCTATCTATGTGAAGTTTATAGCAACAGGAAGCTTTGAAGTGATTTTGTAATAAGTTTTACATGATACTTTAAAATATCTGATATAATAGGTTACGTAGACTGCCCTTTTTATTGATAATAATTGTTCTGTGAAAATAACTTGTAGTTAATTGCCAAAATGAGTAAAAGAAGTCAAATTCTTACTTTATTTCCAGCTACCACAGTCATCAGGAATGACCCATGTTTGGATTGTTTCTTCATGGTGATACTTAGCTTTTCTTCACTGTGATATGTAGTCAGGGTTTGAAGGATCAGGCCTACAGATTAATTCCAAACAGTGGTTCAGCCAACAGATACGTAGGAACACATTACAGGGTTACAGAGTATTTGGGTGGCTTTGTTTGTTTGTTTGTTTTGTTTTGAGATTGTTGTTGTTATGTGCCATCAAGTCACTTGCGACTCATAGCGACCCTATGTACAAGAGCCCTAAACGCCGTTCTATCCTGTGCCAACCTCGCCATCTCAAACACACTCATTCCCACCACTCCCCTCACAGAATTGATCCATCTCATTGAAGGTTTTCCTCTCCTTCACCGCCCCGCCACTCTCCCAAACATGATGTCCCTCTTCAAGGACCAGTCCCTCCTTGCAACATGCCCAAAGTATGTCAGACGAAGCTTCAAAATCCTTGACTCCAAGGAGCATTTTGGCTTCACCCTCTCCAGGACAAACCTGTTTGTTCTCCTAGCAATTCATGTATATTCAACACTCTTCTCCAGCACCACAGCTCAAAGGCATCAATTCTCCTTCCATCATCCCTATTCATTGTCCAACTCTCTGATGCATAGCATGTAATTGCAAAGACTATAGCCCCGATCGGGCACACCTTAGTCTCCAGCCTGATGTCATTGCTCTTCAGTACTCTTGAGAGGTCCCTCACAGCTGCCTTTCCCAATGCAATTCGTCTCCTGATTTCCTGGCTGCCATTACCAAGATTGCTGACTGTGGAACCAAGTAAATGAAAACTGTTAACTATCTCAATCTCTTCACCATCCATGCTGATGCTG